TAATATATATATATATATATATATATGTGTGTGTGTGTGTGTGTGTGTGTGTGTGTGTGTGTGTGTGTGTGTGTGTGTATGTATGTATATAACACACACACACACACACATATATATATAAAGCATGAACTCGTAACTTAAATGATATATTACTATAATAATCCTAACTTAGGTTGTGATTTTTTTCGATGAGTTGTGACTTTTTTCAAAGGGTCTGTGATTATTAGACGAGTTTTCACTTTTTCAAAGAGTTGTGACCTTTTAAATAAGTTGTGACTTCTTGGAAAGGTCATGATTTTTCAAATAAGACACAAAAAAACACTTGTTCATACTACCTGTTGTTAACTATATACAGAGGAGCTTCCTTTCATTTTCCAACCACAATTTTTTTAATCTTCTATTGTTCTTCTTTTTGCATTATAAAATTCATTGTGTGCTTTATTGTTGTTGAGTGAGTTCGAAGTTTAGCGGAGTATGAAGTTTAACTATTCTAATGAAGTAAATCGTTCTATCCTAAGAGAATATATTACATAACCTCGAGTACTTGAGGAAAATAGTTTTGATGATACATTATTCATATTTTTGCGTAATATATACATTAGTATGTAATATTTCAATATATGAAGTTAACATGATGTAGTCTATGTTCATTTGTTTTTGTTAATAATTTCGCTTGTGATGTAGATATGTGCTTCTGAATATATTTTTCCAATATTTAGAGAACCGTCACGATTTATTTTTTGAAGCTCAAGACAAAAGAATGATTTTATTTATCAATGATACTTGTGTGAATTAGATTGTCGGGAAGTTTGTTTCAAAATAGGTATTACAATATAAACACTGCCCTTTTGTTTTTCTTATTTTCTATTTCTTAATATTTCATGTAATAGCGTCAATTGAAGTTTGTATTAGTTTAATTTTTATTTTTTATTTAATATATCTAACTTTTATGAGAAAAATAGTTTCACTACGGCAAATATATATTTATATTTGGATAGGTATTTATATTTAAATTAAAGTATCATATATGTCACGAATGTATTATCAAGTTTACAAGATCTTCTAACTTCAAAATATATTATTTTAGAATGTTCCCTGTTCTTTTCTTTAAAAAAACTCACCAACATATGTAAATATATATGAATATTACGAATCATTTATAATTTATCATTTACAAAATAAGTTTTCTATTCAGTAATATGAAATAAATATTTACATTTTGGCCCTAAACTTAATTAAAATCTAATAACAAAAAAAGAAAAATAGTAACACTAAATATAATATCATTAATAAAAAAATCCTATATTTTTATGTAAGTATAAAATTTATTTTAAAAAAAACTATTATACATTAATTCTTTATTTATACCATTATTAATTCTCTTAGTTGTTACTAATTATTGCAAACGTTAATCACACTCTTTTAAATCCTTAGTTATAATATAATGAATTTCATAATTTTTACATTAATTATTTCTATCTTTCATCTTTCCTTATATTAACTTTTGACCAATAATTTTTCATATTATTATACAGTTCCTATATATGTGATAATACGATATATATTTTTTTTTTGATGAATGATGCTTGGTTGAATAAATTGAAAATCGTTTACGAGTATATGGACTATATCTTTATTTGGTGTTGATGAACATATGCTTATATATATGATTTTACATATAAAATGTATTCTTAAATTTTCAATTTTAGTTTTACCAATAATAAAAGGGATAATGCACAATTACCCCCTCAACCTATGCCCGAAATCTAATAGACACACCTATATTATATTAAGATCCTATTACCCCCTGAACTTATTTTATTAATAATTTTCTACCCCTTTTTCGGTCTATGTGACACTATCTTGTGGACCCAACACTGGTTGACTTTTTTTTCAAGCTAGTGTCACGTAGACTGAAAAGGGGTAAAAAATTACTTATAAAATAAGTTCAGGGGGATAATAGTATCTTATTATAGTATAAGTGTGTCTCTGAGATTTTTGGCATAGGTTGAGGGGGTACTTGTACATTTTTTCATAATAAAAAAAGAAACATTTCTCAATTAACTATGAAAAGTTAGATAACTATCGTTTATTTATGTATACAGTCAATTGAAAAGTCAAATATGATAGCCAACAAGAAAGAGATTTTATTCAAAAGAATTTATGTGAACAAAATACACAATTTTTTTTCTAATTTTTATGAGGAAGGTATTCTCAAGTGATTGCGGTAGTGCACTAATTTCTTTCACTTTTTGTTGCAACATAAATTGTCAACTTCCTCCATAAATTTGATCGCTCGTTTTTTTAAGTCAACTTAATGTAAATTTTTTAAAATTATTTTATTTAAAAGGGTTACCAAGGAGTCTGTTCTAAGTAAAATAGAATTTGCCTTTTTATTTTTACTTATAGTGTGTCTGGTATGAAGGAAAACATTTCCTGGAAAATATTTTTCAATTTTCTCATTTTTGGTTGGGACAAAAGTTTTGGAAAATGTTTTCTAAATCAACTCATTTTCCTCAAAATTAAGAAAAATGACTTCCCTTAAAAAATTAAGGAAATCATTTTCCAAAACCCTCCTCCAATTTCAAATTACATTTTTATTGGGAAAACGTCAATTTAAAAAAATATTTTCAATTTCAAATTTTTATTTTTTCATCCGATCCCTGACACCCCCCTCCCAACCCACCCACCACCAGACAACTTCAAATTTTTATTTTTTCACTCCTACCCCTCCCCCCAAAAAAATAATAGTTTTATTTTTAAAAAATATTTTCAATTTCATAAATTATTTTTTACTCTACTAAATAATAAAGATGTCTCTCAAAAACATTTTTCATTTATAAATCAAAAACTAAAAATCAATTTCGGAAAAATATTTTACACTCACCAACCAAACATGAAAAAATAAGTCCAAACTCTACTTGTTTTCCAAGAAAACATTTTCTAGAAAAATATTTTTCTCCATACCAGACACACCCTTAATTTATCATGTTTTACAACAAGTTCTCTAATATTGAGTATAGAGGAAGAAAATAGAAATGGTTTGACCAACCGGTTCGAGTCCTGTTTACATAATAGAGAGTGGTTCGAATCCTTTTTACTAGGGTGTCAAAAATGAACCTAAACATATGTAAACCGCTCAATTTGCCCAGAATTTTAAAGGTTGAGCTCAAGATAATTTGAATTGGGTTCAATCTCAACCCATTCAAGATTAATTCATTTGAAAAGAAATCTCAATTGAGCTCAATTCAATCTCTAATTTCAAACCGTTTTAAATTTTTTTAATTAAGATATGTTTCTATATTGAAGGTATGAATTATCGTCTATTTAACATCTTTTAGAATATATCTATCAATTTTTTTTTTGGTAACAAAAAAATCTTGAGCGAAAATTTAAATTATGATTATATAAGTAAATTATCAATATGTTAAATTATTGAGATTAACCGGATCAAATTGGGTGGGTCAAGATCCAACCCACTTTTTAGCCCATTTAAACTCAATGTAAACTTGAGCTGATCAAAACCCAATCAACATATATTCAACTCATTATAATATTTCCAATTTCACCAACCCAGTCCATTTGAGATCTTATTTTTACATACGGAGTCACTTGCACTCTATTTCGATATATTCACACAATTTGTCTTCGGTCCAACTTTAATATGCTATGCTAGGTGGAAACCATGGATTATTGGAGTTTAGATTGTAGTAGTATATCAACTCTTTTTCAAAATTACTTGTATGAGATGTTTAATAAAATGAGTGTTCAAATTTTGATTCATTCAGAGAAGAGAGGTGAAGTTTGTGAGAGAAAATTGTAAATGAAACTGCTACAATTACAATGATATGGAAGAAATACGCAGGGTTTGCGTTTCTTTACTCTCATCATCTTCTAAAATCTTCAGTTTTAAGTACTACTGCTATAAATCCAGTTCCCATAAAGCTTCAACATAATTCTTCTTCGCCTTTGCTTCCAGTCAATGTCCAAGTCATTCATGCCAATAAAATGAAAGATGGGTCTGCTCGCGACTTATCTGCCACTAACTATGTTTTAAATCTTTACACAAAAAGTAATCATTTAGCCTCTGCACAGAAGCTATTCGATGAAATTCCTCAAAAAGATGTTCGAACTTGGACGATACTCATATCGGGTTTTGCTCAATTTGGGTTTAATGGAAATGCATTATCGTTGTTCATTAAAATGCGAAAAGAGGGTATTGTAATTCCTAATGAGTTCACTTTATCTAGTGTTTTCAAGTGTTGTTGTAGTGTTAGTAACGGGCTTAGATTAGGAAAGTCCATACACGGCTGGATTGTCGTTACTGCTGCAGTTGATTTGGATGTTGCTTTGGAGAATGCTATACTTGATCTTTATGTTAAATGTGAGTCTTTGGGTTATGCTAAGCGCTTCTTTGAACGGATGAGTGATAAAAATGTTGTGTCTTGGAATATAATGCTGGCAGGGTATCTCGGTACAGATGATATGGCGACAAGTGTTGAACTCTTTAAAATAATGCCTGAAAAGGATGTTTCAAGTTGGAATACAATCATTGATGGACTTTTGCAACATGGGTTTGATAGGGATGCCCTTAAGCTCCTACGTCAAATGACCTTAGATGGGACTTCTTTTAACAATGTTACGTTTTCTATATCATCAGCGTTGATGTCTTCGCTTAGAAATCTTGAATTAGGAAGGCAAATCCATGGTAAAGTGATGAGGTTGTCAATGTACAAAGACACACTTGTAAGGGCCTCCTTAATTTTTATGTACAGCAAATGTGGTCAGATGGAGAAGGCTTCTAGGATTTTCCAAGAATTTCGTCAAGGTATTGTTGAAGTACAACATTCACATTTTATTCCGTGGAGTACCATTATATCAGGTTATATTCACAATAGCATGCTGAAAGATGCTTTACAAGTCTTTAGCTCCATGGTACGTGATCAATTGGAAGTTGATGTTTTTACACTCTCAAGCATTGTTAGTGCTTCTGCAAGTAGTGGGCTTTTGGAACTTGGCTGGCAGATTCATTGCTATGTCCAAAAACTTGGACACATAAGTGACATATTTTTTATTTCAGCAATTATTGACATGTATGCCAAATGTGGAAAGTTAGATTCTGCTCAGTTGTTTTTTGAGCAAACCCAAACTCGGAATATTGTGGTATGGACTACTATGATAAACAGTTATGCTATACATGGAAAAGGATCCGATGCTGTTCAGCTATTTGAGCTTATGCTGAATCAGAGAATTGCACCAAATGAAGTAAGTTTCATTAGTGTTTTAACTGCATGTGGTCATGCAGGTTTGGTGAAAGAAGGATGCAAGTATTTGAGGTTGATGAAACAAGTTTATGGCATCAAGCCTGGTCTTGAACATTTCTCTTGTATGGTTGATCTTTTTGGCCGAGCAGGTTGTTTAGATGAGGCTTATGATTTCATTCACGAGAAGGGCATCTCTAGCATGTCTGAAGTTTGGAAGGTACTTTTATCTTCTTGCTTGGTGCACAAAAATGTTAAGATGGCAAGACATGTTTCTGAGAAATTGCTACAACTTCAGCCAAGTGAACACAGTCCTTACATTCTGTTGTCAAATACTTGTTCAGAGCATGAAAATTGGGATGAAGCATCAAAATTAAGGGGTTTGATGCAGGAAAGGAAAGTTATGAAACATCCGGGTCAATCATGGACTTAGTTGAAGAATGAAATCAAGAATTTCACATGGTTGTTATAAGGAAAAATCAGCAAGAAAGTTAAAGATTTATTGAAACAACCTTCCGTGCAACTGAAGACACGCACCACTGATAGCAAGAATGTGAGATGCAGAAGAGGAAGAGAAGAGCAGGCACATATGGATACAGCTTTGGATCACCAGATGTATTATTTGCAGCCCCCCCTCCCAACCTGAACTCTAGTGCCATAAGTTTGACGCATACGTAACAGTTCTAAGGCTGCATTCACAGATTACCAGTAAATAAAGCTGGTTATAGTTAGGGAACATGGATTTAATTTCTTTATTTGATATACTTTGATCATGTTACTTTCTGTTTAAAATGTTGTGTCTTTAAATCCCAGTAGTCATATTTGTGGAACCTTTAAATCCACTAGAGTAACTTTTTTTTGGGGACAGTTCGTATCAGGGTGTCTTTTACTATACTAAGTTTTCAACAGTAAAACATGCTCAAGTCCATTTACATTAGCCCCACTGATATCCAGAAACCATATTGATGAATGTCTTCTTTTCCAGGTAGCAACTCTCAGTTTTCTCCACCTCATTGGAAATTCAGTGTTCTAAATACATATATGTGTACCTTTTCGGGAACTGTAATTTTAGATGATGTTATTGTGTCCTTTCACTACCAGGTGATGTTGTCAAAAGAGGACGCCCATGAAGATTTAAATTGAACCTGAAGGGTTAGAAATTCACAATCATGTGCAGTAAGTCGTTTCTACGAAAATCGGAACTTCAATTTCTAATTTCTGTCGAGAAATCTCTTATTCTGCTGTATGAAGATGTTAATATATTTAGGAATAACATTTTGATTTGATGTCTACATTCACAATCCATGTAAAATTAGGCAAAGAGTTGAGCTTTACTTGTACGAGACTTTGTATATGCCACCCTAATTGGATCGTACCACTTTTTTATGACGCCTAAAGAACTTCTCAACTTGAGTTTGAAAGCGCAAAAATATGGTATGAGCCTCGTATTTGTAACTCATAGGAAATAACCATGTAAATTTGCTGAAGTCACCAATGAAAGAAACATATTCACAAATTTTATTAACTGTTGAGAAGGATCCCATACTCAGTGTGGACAATTTAAGAGGATAAGGAATGCTAGAACCGAAAATCAAAATTTGGTAGTTTATGACTCTTCCCATATGAATTGCATTGTTGGAGTTCATACTGCATTATGTATATCTGTAGTGTATTCAACAATGAATGAAGATACATCATTATGGAATACTCCTAATTATTAGAAGTAAATAGTTAAAAAGTTGAAACCAAAGTAGAAAGAAGATAAAGGTAGAAAAAATAAATAGTTCCAAGGAGGATAAGAAACATTCATTGTCCACTTATTAAAAGTGATTTGATCAATGCAATAAGTTAGAAATAAAAAACTTCTTGCCTATGCTATTCAAAACAAAAAAAGAAGGAATTTATATTCCCCTTGGATAGAAGACCAGCCAATTTTCTCTTCAGTTGTTTCAACTCCTCGATCCCCTTTCACATATGAATGTCCTTCTTGTAATTTTTTTTGAGTAAGCTAAAATCCTCACTCTAACTCAAAATGTTAATCCTACAGGAAAGAACTTGACAATTCTTTGCCATAAAAGATCAGAGTTAGGAGAAAAAAGTTATTATGAAATCATAATTATGAACATTTACACGGAATAAGGTTTTGGAAGAGGCATATCCTTGATTATTCCACACAAGACATCATTGTCTGGCATGTTATATTCATCTTTCAAATCTCTTTTTGGAGAAAGGGCGCTAAAGTAAAGTTGTTGCCCCAAGTATTGTCTTTCCAATGAGTTGGATCTCAGGTTCCAAAGACCAGCATTATCAAGAGTGGTCATTATGGCTGCCCATGAGTTAGGATAAACTTGGATGGTATTCCTGGATACTGCATCAAGCAAATTGTAGTTCTTCCTCTTCTCTGGGGTCCATTTTCCAGGTTCAATCCTGCATGCACAAGGTAAATTAATTATATCACTATAGCAATACCCATAATTTCAACTTAACAAGTTCAATTTTTAATATTCCAGCATAATACTCATTATTAAAGGCACTCACGCAACAGCGAAGAAGGAGTATCCGGCCAAGTGAAAAGATTGAACACTCTTTTCATGGTTCTCAAAGATGATCTCCACATAGTTACGGTAAATGACTTTAACTACATTGGGTGCGAGTGTGATCTTCTCTTCTGCTTTCCCAGCTGGAGGTTCATATTCATCCTTCATAAGGTCATATTTGAAGACCTTATCTTCAACACCATAGTATTCAGCCAACTTAATTGGGGTTGTAGGGTTCACATGTGAGATACCATTGAAGGCATATCGGAGCTTTCCGTCCACTGTCCCAGCTGTATTCACAAGTTTGATGGTGCGTGTAATGTTGATTTGACCATAGTGGTATGATCCTTGTGGATTAGGTCTAGCTGCACTTGCCGTTAAATTCCAACGGAAAGAGCGAAATTGGTTGAGTGACCAGGCCCAACCAATTGGGGCTTTTGGCAACTCTGGTGAGGCAGGGCCCTTGCCATTAGTGTAACGGATTATGGATGTAGCAGTGTGGGGTTCCTTGGTGAATCGCGTAGAGGCCACAAGGAGGTAATCCTTGGGATCTTTATCAGCAGTCACTAAGACAGAGACGCATTGTCCCAAGTGAATATCTAGTGAATCATACATGTTCTGCACAACGTGAGATCCTTCTATTTCCACCAATTTCATGGTATGCCCTTGGATTCTAACATTGATGGAATCCTTGTTACCTGCATTACAAAACCTATACCTATATGTCTTTCCAGGGGTCATTGAGAACATTGGCTCATCTTTTCCATCGCCGTTTCCACCTTTTCCATTGATGATTACTCCATCAGGCCTTCCCATCGAGCGCCCACTGTCCAAAAACTTTCTCAATTGAGTATGACTTTTGGTGTACCAATCACTCACCAAGACAAAGAACTCATCGGCAGGGTTAATATCAAATGGGATGGGAATTAATGCACGACTATGGACACTTAATCCACCATATCCACCAGCTGCTCGATGCAAAGCTGTGGTGGGGTAATAAAAAAAGGTTCCAATTTGATCCTTGACCTGGAAATGGTATGTGAAATTGCCCCCTGGAGGAATGGGACAATTGGTGCCAAGGGTACCTTCTTGCCAAGAGTTTTTCCTCTGTTGGATGCCATTCCAAGTGAAAAGGAATGGCTCATCCAACTGGTTGAAGACATTGACAACAATGTTATTATTGGATGTGCCATTTATTACAGGTCCTGGAAATTTATCATTGATCAAAATAACTTGCTGAGGAACACCAAGTGGAGAGATGGTACCATAAGTCACTTTCCATTCAAAGGTCACAGTAGGATCTCCTCCTTTCACTAGTGATGTTGAAAGACACAACACCATCAACACAAGACCAAATCTCAACTTTTCCATCTTATCTTTACGTTTTTTTTTTTCTATTTTTTTTTCTCAGTTTAATTTTAATAGAAACAATAAAAAGTGTTCAAAGAAATGATTGTGCATTATGTTGAGAATGATTAACCTTAACTTATTATTTATTAAGTGGTGTATGTGAGGTTGTTTGGTGATGTAAGATTAGTGATTGATTCTTGTCCAAACAAAAATTCCCGTAAAACTTTCAACACTTGTCCGCACGCATCGTTTGCTCAATGGTATTTGCAATTGTCTGTTATAACATATAATAATAAAAAAATATAAAGTTCCACTTATTTTTAGAAGAAAAAAATAAACACCATATGTTACGAATGTATTGAAGTGAGCATTCTTTTTCTTAGACAAATAAAAATAAAAGTTATAGTTCCTTCTAGACGTTTATAAAAAAAAACTTGCATCATTCATTAAAACTCTTCTTAATATTCAAATTTTGGCACATAATTTAAATTTGTTAATTTAAAATTGAACTCAAATGGCAAAGATAATATTTTTTTTACCTATAGGCTATAAATATGTATCTGTCTACTTTAATATCCTACAAGGATACATTAGAAAAAATAAAGTACCTAGTTTCTTTTAAAATAGTCACTCTACATCTATCCATCTATATATATACTAGATTTTCGTTGCACATGATTATCAATTCAGAAAATTTTTACGAAGTTTGAATAATGAGCTCTCCGCAAAGTAATATTGCTGATTCTTTTATAAATATTTAATGTGAATCGTCACACACACACACACACACATATATATATACATATATATATATATATATATATATATATATCTTATTCATACGAACCTATGAAGATGATCAATGAAAAAAATTATTAGTTAAATGCAATAATGTATATATTTATTTCAATTTGATGAGGTTCAATCATGAAATTTGTTGTATCTCACTAATATTACCTTATATATGATATTTGTTGTGTATTTTTCTTCTCATCTAACCAGGTGTGCTTTGCACGTGTAATCCACTTAATCTGTTTAGATGTCATATGAACATGTGGAGAACAACTACAATTTATTTTTTAGAACTATTAATGTATATTACTTTTTATTTTATAAGTTATAACATAATAAATGACGTTCTTTTTGTTGGCTCTCATATTTGACTTCTCCACTGTCTATGTACATAAATCAAAGATAATCATCTGACTGTCCATAATTAACTGAGAAAGGTTTCTCCTTTTTTTTAAATCGAAAAAATTAAAAATTAAAATGAAAGAATATATTTTATCTGTGAAATCATATAATCACATGTTTATCTTATAACCAACAAAGATATAGTTCATATACTTGTAAATAATTTTTAATTTATTCAACCAAGCATGATTCGTTCTAGGAAAAATAACAATACTGTGTTATTACATAATAATATGAAAAATTATTGGTCTAAAGTTAATATAAGAAATAAGAAAAAATGAAAGATAGAAATAAATTAATGTATGAGAATTCATAATATTATAACTATAACTAAAGAATATAAAAGAGTGTG